TAGAGTGACTTCCTCCTTGTTCATATGATAAGTCATACAGAACTGATCATAACAAGAAGGAAAAGAGTGTAGGATAATGTCGATAGCCAACTCTTCATAAAAATTGACATTCAACTTCAGCAAGCGGTCCACATATCTTTGCATCTTCTGCAAGTGGGTCGTGATGGACTCTACATCCTTCATTTTGGTTGTTATCATGGAAGCAATGATTTATACCTTTCTTTTCGAGCACTCTGTTGGTACCTTTCCATAAAATCTTGGTGCATCTCGAAAGGCCAGAAGTCCTCATAGGAGTTTTGAAGCTCAGAAGTCATAGTGGCTAGCATGATGCACGACACCTTTGTCGCGTCCTTCTCATGAGCCCTATACTCAGCCAGTTGCTCAGGAGTAGCAGTTTGTTCATCCATCTCCTTCAACTATTTATCGAGGACATATTCTTTTTCCTCGTATCGAATGGTCATACGAATGTTACGAATCCAATCGTTAAAGTTTGAGCCATCGAAGATTACCCTCCCACATAAGTTCATGAGGGAAAAAGAGCCAGAAGAGTTGGAGCCTGAAGCGTTGTTTGAAGTAGACATTTGAAAAAGAAAGACAAGTTTCATTAGATAGGAATTCCTTAATATGACACCCAGATGAAACATTAAGGTTAGGACCCAAACACAATAATTCACAACTTAGAATAGGGATGCCGTAATCTAATTGCAAATTATTTGAAGGGATGTAAATGACGATTTACCAATTTCACCACCCAAAACCAAAATTTAAAAGAATTAAGTTTTATGAAAATCCTAGATCTTTGAGATTCATTGAACTTTTCAATGACATTTCTAATCTCGATTATTCCCTTTAAGTTTGCGACTGGGATACTGAGGATCACAAACAAGGTATGAATAACCATGCAAATGTGCTTGGTACTCTTGATGTCATTTATCACCTAATCAATGTGTCGGTTAACCACACACGCTCCATTGATCTATGACAAACATCAAGCTACCCTTTTCCACCCTTGTTAGTCCAAGTTAGTGTGCCGGTAAACCACACACGCTCCACTAACGATTTGGCAAGGTGCAAAGTGCAATATCATGGAATAGCACCATTTTCACATTTTCCTAAAGTAACTAAGATTGGGAATTTTGAAAAGTATTTAGTTACTTTTTATAATTAACATTATACTTTTTAATGAGAATTAATGTCCTATCCTACCCGTTCGGCTAACGACCCTCCACTAGTCAAGGAAGCGGTGGGTGAGAGTGGACACTCATTCAATCGCCATTTTCTAGGCAATTTCCTTATACCCCCTTATAGACTAGCTTCGTGAATGAGGCCTACTAACGGTAAGACTGACTGTCTTATACATATATATATATATATATATATATATATATATATATATATATATAAGTATTAAGCTTTTAGTATTATAATAGTATAAGGGTTGAATTTTACACTTTTAAAACTCTAGGGTTTAGAATTTAAATAGTTCAAAATTAAAGTCTTTTAATCAATCTTTTCAAATTCCAAAACTTGAGGGCAAATTTTGAAACTTTTCAAAACTCTTGGATCAATTTGATAACAATTAAATTAATCATATAATTAACTATATCACAAAATTGACCTAGTCTTATTACACATAACAAGATGATTCAAATCAATTCTACAAATAATTAGTTTTTCACAAAATCAAGTAATTATCTTAAAATTTGACAATCATCATTCAATTGGATGAGGATAATCATTACATTATTGGAAAAATCAAATTTTATCATTCAAAACAGTTTGTGGTAATGATCCTAATCCAAACCTGGCCAAAAAACTCGAAAATCTGCAAGCAGATGATCCTACTCGTCGAGTGCATGACATGAACTCGACGAGTTCATCACATATGATCCAACTCGTCAAGTTCCCTTATGAGACTCGACGAGTCCAGCAGTCAGTGGCCAAAAATGACATTTTTTCAGCTTTGAAAATTAAACAATTGCATCAATATAACAGAAAACATCCTAGGATATGATACCACTGAAGGGTTTTGAGCACTATAACAATCCTATGGTGCACATACAACCCTAAATGCTTTGGATCTAAGTTTTCTCAAGTTATACATGCATTTTCACTTTTTCCAAAGCATGAACCCTAACTAGCATACAATTGGAGATATACAACATAAAAGCCAGTTAGATGATTACCTCTTGTAGTAGCTTGTAGTTCTTGATCTTTCAGGAGCTTAGTCCCTAAAATGAAATACCTCAAATAAGTTACAAACACCAAATGCAAATGGAGGCTTATGAGAGAGTGGTAAGGAAGCACAAATCGGCTAGGGTTTCACCTTGGAACCCTTGTGGCCGATTTTAGCATGCTAGGGGTTACTTTTATAGTGTGGAATTCCTAGGCTTGCCTCATTTCACCATAGGACGTAATCTCCTACCTTGAAAGCTTTATCTTTGACTCTGTGGTTATAGTACCTCTCCACAACGTTTTTATAGGCTGCCTGGAAGATGTTTGACCACTCACGCTTCTCTTCGATGAGGTCCAAATTTGCTCTTAGATCCTTATCATTGCTTGCTTCTTCGAAATGGGCCGTTCGGAGTGATCCGATCGTTAACTCCACCTGCAACATTGCTTTCGTTCCGTAAGTTAGGCTAACGGGGGTCTCTTTCATGCTCGTTCTTGGCGTTGTTCTGTACGACCAGAGCACCCCCGATAGTTCCTCAACCTAATTGCCTTTAGCTTTTCCCATGTGTTTCTTAATTCCACTTACCAATGTTTTGTTGGACACTTCGGTCTGACCATTAGCCAGGGGGTGTGCTACTGTTGTTAACCGTTGCTCAATTCCCTTCTCGACGCACCAACTTCGGAACGGGTTTTCGGTGAACTGCAATCCATTGTCACCGATCAGTACCTTCGGTATTCCAAACCTTGTTATTATGTTCTTCCATAGAAACTCGATCATCTGCCTTCTGGATATGCATGCTAACGGTTCAGCCTCTATCCACTTGGTGAAGTAGTCTACCACAACTACTAGGTATTTCACCTTGTCTGGGGCGTCTGGTAATGGTCCAACGATATCGATTCCCCACTGGTAGAAAGGCCATGGAGTAGAGATACTTGTCAGAGGCGTTGCATTTTAGCCACGGCGTCATGAATCCGTTTCGATACAGTATTCCTTCTATGATTGTGTATAACGGCGCTTTGATCCATACTCTTCTAGCTTCTTCATAACTATCTGGAAAAATGTCGTGTTGCAAATATTCGACTATCCGTGTCATCCATGTGTGTCGGGTTGGCGTTAGAGTGTGTACCCGCCGCTCGTCTATACTTCTCTCTTTGAGCACCTCTACTAGTACTTTCTTAGAAAGATGGTCGAAGCATGTCGATGCTAGCTTGCTGAGGGCATCTGCTCTTCTATTTTCTCCTCTTGGGATTTGCTTAATGGTAAACTCTCTGAGGGTTTCGATGAGCTGTTGCACAGCTTTCACGTATTTCTCCATTCGCTTGTCTCTTGCTTTGAATTCTCCATTGATTTGATTAGCTACTAGCCTTAAATCCGTGAGGGCTGTTATCATTTCTGCACCCATTTGCCTTGCTAACCGTAGGATGGCGAGTAAGGCCTCGTATTCAGCCTCATTGTTAGAGGTATGAAAATCGAAGCGGGGGGCGTAGGTGATCTCTTCCTCCTCTGGGCTTGTTAAGATCAGGCCAACCCCCGATCCTTCTTTACTGGATGCTCCATCGGTGTATAGGGTCCACCTCTGGCCGTCATTTGGCTGGCATGCATCCGATGACTCTTTCTTCTGGATTGCTTCCTTTACTTCACCCGGAATTTCGAAGAGAAAGTCTACTCACGTCTGTCCCTTGATGCTGGTACGTGGGCGATAACTGATGTCATGTTCCCCCAGCTCGATTGCCCATTTTGCCAGTCGTCCAGACGTTTCCGGTTTGAGTAGTATTTGTTTGCTCAGGCAGTTTGTTAGTACTTCTATCTGGTGTGCTTGGAAATAGCGTCTCAAGCGTCGTGCCGCGTAGATGAGTGCTAACACTAATTTTTCAAGGATGGGGTAGTTGGTTCCTGGGCCCTGTAGTGCTCGGCTAACGAAGTAAACCGGCGCTTGTCTTCCTTCCTTTTCAACTACCACTACCGAAGAGATGGTTTCGTCTGAGGCTGAGAGGTATACTTGCAGCGTTTCGCTTGGGACAAGACTGGCCAACGTAGGTTATTTGTGCAAGGTTTCCTTAATTTGCTGGACTGCTGCTTCTAGTGTTGTTGTCCATTGGAAGTTGCTCTTTTCGATGCATCCTTTGAAAGTGTGGAAAAGCGGCATGGCTTTCTCTGCTGACTTGGTGCTAATTATTTGGCGGGAGATTCGGTTCAACACCAACGTACCAAACATATTAAATGGACATATATTTTATATGTGAAAAAATTGAGGTTTGGATTCTACATGTTTTATCTCAGTATCACATTGTCAACGCTTTCACCAAAGACCTAACTCGAGGTTTTTTTTTGATGATTTTCACAACAAGCTCAACATTCGTCCACGTTTTGCTTCAATTGTGGACAACTATTATATTATCATTAATTATTCTGAATTATAGTTAATCTAGACATTCCTTGTTGATAGGACTTTCCTTTTATTGTGTATATAAACAAAAGTTGGAGATCAAATAATAATCAAAGGAGTTCCCAATTCTATCAGTTACGTCGGGTCATTAGCGTTATGCAATAAAGGATAATAATGATAAACTATTTTTCTGAGATCATAAGTTTGATGAACGACCAATTAACGCCAAAGATCACGATACCAGACAATTAAACTTTAGTACTTACCTAAAACAGGCTAATTCGAATCACTCTAACCTGAATTTGATATCACTCTTTATATTTTCTTGAAACATTTGTTTATATATCGACCCGATTCAACCCGCCCGACATATGGTCAACCAAAGTCAATCACTCACCCACACTACACGTGCACATTATATACATCTTATCTTACATTGTTCCTCTATATATATATATATACACTTCCTCCATATACAATGTCTTTCAATCACGCCATTTACTCATTAACACTCTCCCTATTTCTCAAACCCCATGGCTACATCCCATCAGTTTCTCTCTCTACCCAAAGCTTCTTTTTGTTGATTGGTTCAATCAGTCGCTTAAATCTTAGACATTGGCCGGCAAACTAATAAAAAGGTACAGAAATCTGTCGGTTTTCCACTTCCGATACTAGTCGCCGCCGCTAGATCTGTAAGCAACAATGATTAGTGGGCATGACTTCTACACCGTCATGGCGGCGATGGTGCCGTTATACGTCGCTATGATTCTGGCTTACGGCAGTGTACGGTGGTGGAAGATATTTTCTCCTGATCAGTGCTCCGGCATCAACAGATTCGTGGCTATCTTCGCCGTTCCGTTACTGTCGTTTCATTTCATTTCTTTGAACAATCCGTACGAGATGAATTTCCGGTTCATCGCCGCTGACACACTCCAGAAAATCATTATGCTGGTGGTGCTCGGACTCTGGGCTAAGTTCTCGAAGAACGGGAGTTTGGAATGGATGATTACGATTTTTTCACTCTCCACGCTACCTAATACTTTGGTGATGGGGATTCCGTTGCTGATTGCGATGTACGGCGATTATTCGGGGTCGTTGATGGTTCAGGTGGTGGTGCTGCAGTGCATCATATGGTACACTTTGCTGCTTTTCTTGTTCGAGTACAGAGGCGCCAAGATTCTGATCATGGAACAGTTCCCGGAAACTGCCGCGTCTATTGTGTCATTCAAGGTGGAGTCCGATGTTGTATCACTTGATGGTCATGATTTTTTGGAAACCGATGCTGAGATCGGAGACGATGGGAAGCTTCATGTGACAGTGAGGAAATCGAACGTTTCGAGAAGGTCGCTCCCCGGAATGACTCCCCGGCCATCGAATTTGACAGGGGCGGAGATCTACAGTTTGAGTTCATCGAGAAACCAGACTCCAAGAGGTTCGAATTTTAACAACTCTGATTTTTACTCTATGATGGGATTTCCCGGTGGCCGGTTATCGAATTTCGGTCCGGCGGATATGTATTCCGTTCAGTCATCGAGAGGCCCGACACCCCGACCATCGAATTTTGAAGAGAGCACAGCTCCGGGACCTTTAAATTCTCCGAGGTTTGGATCTTATCCGGCACCGGGAGTTCAGTCGACGTCGTCTTACCCTGCTCCAAACCCGGAGATCACATCAACGGTTACAAAACCGGCAAAAGGCCTACAACCACCGGTTACGGTAGTGCAACAAAATGGCAGCTCACAAAACAAAACAAAGAATGACGACAAAGAACTTCACATGTTCGTCTGGAGCTCCAGTGCTTCGCCGGTTTCGGAAGGTGGTGGGGGTGGGCTCCACGTGTTTGGCGGTACTGATTTTGGAGCGACAACAGACCAATCAGGTCGACCCGATAACGACGGTGCTAAAGAAATCCGTATGGTGGTCTCCTCCGATCATCCCGAATCAAAAGGTAAAAGTAAAACCCAAACCACCGTTTTCTTGATTATTCCACCATGAGAAGTAAGAACCTGTAATTTATGGCTTTCAATTTCATGAGTGGTACAGGGACCGGTGATTTCCGACGGGATGAATTCAGTTTCGGTGGTGGGAGAGATGGAGATTATGAGAGGGAGAAAGATGGGTCGACTGGGTTAAAACAGGGATCAAGCTCTACGTCGGAGCTCCACCATAAGGAGGCGCCAGTTCTGGAGGGGAATGCCGGAAAAATGATGCCGCCGGCGAGTGTAATGACCCGATTGATACTGATTATGGTTTGGAGAAAACTGATCCGAAACCCGAACACGTACTCGAGTCTCATTGGTCTAATATGGTCTCTTGTTTCTTTCAGGTAATAGACATATTTTGTACACTTTGACTACTTTGTATTAAATTACTTTCTATATTATTTAGTTTCATAAATAAACAATTTTGAAAACATGAATTAGTTGACTAATGTGTGTTTTTAACGATTTTGATGATCACAATTCACAGGTGGCATGTAGCAATGCCAAAAATAATAGAGAAATCGATTTCAATACTCTCGGATGCTGGTCTCGGAATGGCCATGTTTAGTTTAGGTAAGTTTTAATATTTTAAATAACTTTGTATATAGTAATTATTATATATTTATTTATTTTCAAGAAACAAAATGAGTCTTAATGATTGGGACCATAATGATTGCTGAATAGACTCAATCGTGGTCCAGAGTGTGGTGGGTACTGTTTTCAAAATGGAGAATGCAACATCAATCTTTATCAATTCGTTGTTGACATCCGTCCAATGTTTAATCATTTTTCTTTCTTTTCCTAAATCGATTTTTTTTCTTTCTTTCTTTCTTTCATTCTAAGATATCTTACAATAACAAGTTGTCGGCAATACCATGTTCATTAATGACAACCTTTGTCAAATCTGTCTCTTAGAATGTAATGTTTATTAAATAAGTATCTGTAGGTATATTTATGGCTCTTCAACCCAAGATAATTGCCTGTGGGAATTCAGTGGCTACGTTTTCAATGGCGGTGAGGTTTTTAACAGGACCAGCAGTGATGGCGGCTGCTTCGATTATTGTTGGCCTCCGTGGTACCCTCCTCCATGTCGCCATCGTACAGGTCGACATAAATTGCATTCGATCATATATTATATGTTATCTCATCTTAAACGATTTTAATTTTGAAGTGTGACATATATGATATATATATTTTTTAGTTTTAACTTATTTTAAATTTGATGTAAATGATAGGCTGCATTGCCACAGGGGATTGTACCTTTTGTCTTTGCTAAAGAGTACAATGTTCACCCAGCAATTCTCAGTACTGCGTAAGTATATGTTAATGTTGACTTTTTATTTTTGAAGTTAAGAGAATTAAAATGTTGGTCAACTCTTTTGGAATTTTCAGGGTGATTTTTGGGATGCTGATTGCGTTGCCTATAACTTTGGTGTATTACATTCTTCTTGGGTTGTAAGACATAGTAAAGCATGGGGGAGAGGAAAAAATCTTTAAAATTGAATGAATGTCGAATGTGTGTAAGACAGGATTTAGTCATCTAACAAGTTCCTTGTACAAGGATTTTCATTTCATGTGTGCATTGAATGAGTGGGAAGTCCTATATATAGAGACTCCCAGTCCAAGACCATCGGAAGATGGGATTTTTGACATGATTTAAAGCACCCGTAGCTCCTTGATATAAGGATCTTGCTTCCCCAAATTAGATACTAGCAACCAAGGTGATAGCTTTTCAAGACGACAACAAGGAAAGATACACAAACTTGATGCACTAAAAAAGAATATCTTAGGTGTATATTGGCATGTTAATGTAATAGGGAGAATATTATTATTTGTTTCATATGTATTTTTTTTAATGTAAGTATTTAAAATCATAATGATTGAGAGGTGATGCATGAATTGTTATTAAAATATTTTAATTAAATCATGCTTGAAAGACGTGATGTGTGACTTATTTATTGGATTATTTCGTTTCATTGTTTGCTATATATCGAATTGTTATTTACGATTTAGATATTAAGATTTCGCGATAAGTTGCACTTGATATTATATATATATATATATATATATATATATATATATATATATATATATATATATATATATATATTGATTGTTTAAAATTAGGTTTGTCAAATCGGAAAGTCATATCGCGTTTTAGCTGATACGACATGATATGACAATTTATATGTAACACAAACACGACATGATTTTATATTTTGTTTTAATAATATTTTGTTTTAATAATACGAAAATGACATATCTAAAAAATGACAAAAATAATTAACACTACAAACCAAAAAAAAAAAACTTTTAGTTTATTTAATTCAAAATTAATCTTATAAAACAGGATAAACACAACAAATACATTTAATATTGTGTCAATTTCGTGTTGAAATTTGAACATGAACGCGGCACGACACGATGTCGTTTTTTTTTCTTTTGCACTTAACACGACACATGAATTCGAATTTCAATTTTGCTTCGTATCGTTTCAAGAATTGTCATCCATATTTAAAATCATCATGTGTCATGTAACCTATTTTGTTTTGATTAAATCTAGATCTTTGAAGTAAAAGAATCATATATAATTTTGAAATTTATTTTAAAATGTGAATACAAATGATAGAGTGTAATATATATAACCAATCACCTTTTTGAAGTTATAACATTACGTTCATGCATATGCATATGCTGAAAATCCGAAAGAATTGAATATATACCTTCTAGTAATCCTCATAAAAAGAGATGATAAAACTAAGAAAGCACATTATCTCTTTACTTTTGAGGCATAAAAAGCACTTTTTTTTGACTTTTATAACCAAGTGTGAGACCAAAAGCAAATTTACTTTATTTGATTGATCATTTATCAATGGATGCCATTATTTCACACACTTCATCCCAAAATAACTTCCTTAAGTTATAGTATCCAAAATGGGATAGCATTCTATGAACCTTGAGTTCGAAATCTCAATTTGATAATTTTTAAGCTTTTCAACATTTTTGATCTCGCATTCGTATGAAGGTGAATGGTAAATCGGTCTTTTATTAAAACACAAATTTTATTATCCAAATGTGTATGTCAATGAACTCAAACCCCATAAACAACACAACATCCGAATAATTGGAAACCATGGTCCACGATAATTAAAAAAATAAATAAATAAATAAATAAACAACTAACTTCTAGAACTATTAATTGTTCCAAAAAGCACACATGCTTAATGTCAGCTTAAAATATTTAGTTATTCAACAAAATATCTAGATTTTTTCACAATCATATAATTGAAGTTATTAATTCACGAAAATGGTAAGTTTTCTAAAAAATATCTAGAAAATTATAATAAAAACAATCCTATTTTTTATTTAATATTTAAGAATCAAAGTTAAGAACCAGTCAATGATGTTACATTGTGCAAGTGCATTTTTTCAACATTAAATTCATATCAACACGGAATTGGTGCATCACTGGTGAAATTCGGTCGCACTTACAAGATGTTTGGTTAGTATAATATCTAAGAGTGTAATTTGAAAACCACGACAAAATTATGTTAGAGATTTTCGATGACTATGGTTGTGAATTGTGATAGGGTTAGTTAAAATACTTAATTTAGGTGGCTTTGTAAGAATATGCATTTTATTTCATGAAAAGTTAAGTGTGCATGGAGAAGTAATGCTTCTGCCTTCCGGTATATTCCTTATATTAGTAACTATTTACTATTTAGATGTCTTCTATAAACTGGTTTCATATACTATGTGCTCCGTAAAACTTTAATGTTCTCTCACTCATTTATCATTAGGTTTCACTTTAGATATATTTTCTAAAATTCAAACCATGAATATAATTGTAATTTTTATATTTCAACTTAAGCTAATGGATCGGTTAGATAAATGTGGGTCGGTTTTTCATAATAACTAAAACGAAAACCATATATAATTGGTTAACAAAATTTAGAAACCACACCACCCTTTTAACAACGGCTCGGTTATAATGATTCGGCTATTTCGGTTTTCGGTTATTATGCTCACGTGTAGTTGTGATTATAAGACAACATAGTGTTGATACTGGAATAGAAATTTGTGCGCGTTCACTAGTATTTGTAGCATAAAACCTGCCAAAAACAACTCAAATGCAAATGACAGTCGCTAGGCTTGTTGGTAACGACCTCGTGGAGGTGTTCTAGGATAAAAACCTTTTTTGACCGAGTATAATCAAGTCATCGCCGATGCGTTGTCATTCTGGTGTTCTCGTACCTCATAGAGAAAAAGAGAAAATGTGTGTGTGCGCGCACAAATGAACGGGTATGTGGGGGTGGGCGGGCCCAATTTTGTTTTTCATATTATTGAAATTATAAAACGTTTAATAAAAAATGAAAAATAAATCAAGGTATGTTGCTCATTTCATGTTTATTTAGACTTTAATTGTGAGGATAATTTGTGCAAGTTTTAAAACCATATGAATCATTTTGTCAAACCGTAATGACTATTCATATGTATTTTTGCCGACCACTATCATCAATTTTGTAAATTCATTTAAAACAACTAATAAGAAGATATGAATAATGATATTAAGGATAAAACAATTATTTTACAAATTTAGTTAATGTGATGCTAATTCGATGTCTTATAGACCAAAATCATTATAAAACGGATCAAAATTGCAAGCATTTAGACTATTGGGAATGGACAATGTCTAACTGCGTTTTTCTGCGGTGGCATACAATACCGGCGTTACAACGCGGGAAACACCACGTCGGGTGCGCGTTTCCCGGCGTTCCGTGGGTGCACGTTGCAATGGTAACGATTGGTAACAGAGAAACTTCGGCTATATGGCTCGCAATTGATCGTTTTAAAACAGTAACATTCATAGAATAAAATAAAAAAATTGTACCTATATAAATACATAAACAACATCTTAATTTTTACCACTTTCTTTTCTTATTTTCTGTTTCATATAAACTTTCAATAAGTCAAAACAAAAAAATGGATCATTTTGATCCGTTCCATCCGTTTAACGATGATAACGACAACGACGATATCTTTGTAATTATGATGTACCGGTATTCTACGGACGTGTTACTACAACCATATCTAGCTCCACTACTCACACGACACACGACGTTAAATAGAAATCGCGAAGAAAGGCATAGACGTCTAGTTAACGATTATTTTCCAGATAATTGTGTCTACCAACCTAGCTATTTCAAAAGAATGTTTCGTTTACGAAAAAAATGTTTTTAAACGGATAGTCAACACATTAGAAAGCAGGTATCGTTTTTTTCAAGTTTTGTAAATTATAATGTAGCTTTTAGATAAACAAAATACATCTTTTTGCCTATTAAATATATGTATAGGGAAAGAATGTAACTTTTTTTTTCTTTTAATGTATTTTTTTAAGTTTTAAATGTTTTTGTATTTTGTTGTATTTTTTTTATATGTTATATTTAATTTATGATTTATTAAAATATCATGTTTTATTAAGTTATTTGTTTTTTATAATTATTCAAAAAAAACAAATAAATAAATGATGACATGGAAATTAGATGCCTGTGTTCGACACAGTTTCCTTAAAACAAATTCGACTTACTCCGGGTGTTTGTTTCGCAGGATACAACAGCAAGAACAGTTATTCAAGATCGCCGAACTCAACAAGGTTCGAATATTATCTTGATATACATGCTAGAAACGCAGCGTTAGAAGGGAGAAGAGTAGAGAGTTTTTCAGTGTACTTTATCATATACAAGATCACTATATTTATAGTGCAAACTTGTAACTCTCACCATATTTACAATTTATGGTGATTATAAAACCGACACCTTAATTATTGAATTAAATCAATATTAAACACAAAATTTATAACGGAAATTGTGTTTAATTCTCTATTTTAATTCAATTTTAAACAAAAAATTAACAAAATAAGATTTTGTTTAATTTAACTGTTTAACCATTCAACCACTCTAAACACCATAGTTTTGTGCATAATTTCCCATTTATTTTTTCAACAATCCCTTACACGAATGGAAATTTATCATATATTTTCAAGCCACCTAGATAAAATTCAGCAGTTGAATCATGTATAGGATAGGTAAGTGTTACCCTTTGAACGTTTCTTTAAGATACATATTTATTTTACTAGCAGACCAATAGACTCAATTTCCTTAAACTGTTCTGCCGTTTGTGTAAATAATCAATACATGTCTCACATGATTCTCCCTGACCTAGTTAGGTTCACATTCATGTGTCTGTTATGGTAATGGACACTTGTCTGGTTCTGTAAGATCTCTTAGGAATGTTTCCATACAATTCCATTTGAAGTGACCCCACTTCTCTCTCACATAGGTGATTCCATCATAATCATTAAAACCTAATGCATGATGATCTCCAACTTATCATCTTCGGCTATAAGCTTAACCTACATCATTGTTTGTTTTAGGAATGGATTGGGGTTGACCCCCACAGTGATTCACAAATGTGATATGCAAGTACGTTGTCCCATTGAATCTAGATCTTGGGATCTCCAATCAACTAGGTTGGGTTTTTCGAAATTAGAAACTGCAAGCGAATGTGTACAATCAAGCCTTCGCCTTCCTGCGATCATCAAAAGTGTCTGAAACACATGTAATCAACAACTGTAAGCATGAATCTTAGTGAGTTCCCCTAAGTATCACATACAACACATCACAAATGAACAGTTATGGATTATCAACAACTTTGGAGATTACCCGAAGTCGTAGTGGGCAAACAACACACTTTGTGGATTATCAACAATTATGGAGACTACCCGAAGTCTCAGCACACACAATAACACATATCACAGTAACACCAAATAGACCCAGCTGGTCAACACATATATTCTACCACACATGTAAGAATAGTGAGGAGACTCACCTCGCACAGA